AAACGAATAACACCATAACAATGATAACACTTTTTCTTTAAATAAATCAAATAGTACTTTTAATACTCGAATTGTATTATAGTAGGTAGAGTGGTTGCATCGAAAGGAAGAGTGGTTGGGTTCGAAACCTGCTGTAGGCATGTAGTTATAAACATGTATTTCCGTCAGTTATGGGTAAGTATGCAGGTAGATTTTCAAAATTATAAGACACAGGAAATTTCTAAAGCCTACATCTAAAACAGGTAGTATTTTCTTTTCCCGGCTTGTTATAAAAAGGAACCTTTCTGTCTAGGTAAGATTTGATTTTTTCAATTTTATTCTTGTTCCGAGTATAAATATGAGTTAATGCGCTTTGAAACTTCATAACATCTTCAAGGCTCGCCGGAGATAGTTCAGTTCATAAGTCTAATTTCAAAACCGTGATTTATTAAAAAAAATAAAATGAGTAAAAGGACGCGAGAATTTGAGTGTAATAAGGATCCAGATATGTTCTGTTTCATGTGTGGCCAATATACTATCATAAGGCGACGACGAGCGTTCTCAGATCATATCAAAACTTTATACTCCAAGTATTTTGGAATTGAGCCTAAAAATGCTGAAAAACCATGGACACCGAACACTTTGTGTACATCGTGTCGAGTAGAATTGATTCAGTGGGAATCAGGACAACAAACAAAATTTGATACACCAATGATATGGAGAGAACCTACTTGCCATTCAATAGAGTGTTATATTTGTCAAACAAAAGTACTTGGCGTTGGAAGATCAAGAGGAGTAACCTATGCTAGCGTACCTACAGTGACATTACCAGTACTACATTCAACGGCAGTTGCGGATCCAGTTCCATTGTCAACAGTAACATCTGAGTGCGGGGGATCAAGTTGTACTGAATTTCGCATGGAAAACGAAAGAAACGTTCTGCCACAAGCACAACTTAATGATTGGATAAGAGATTTGGAACTATCCAAGGAAAAGGCCGAGATCCACACTTCTCGTATGCAACAATTTAAATTTGTGTCATCCGATGTTAAGGTGACATATAGTAGAACTCGTCACGAACCATTTTCCAAACACTATACCAAGAAAGACAGTATATGCTACTGCAACGACATCCCTGGTTTATTCAAAGAGTTTGGTCAAACATATGATTCAAAAGAGTGGCGATTGTTCATAGACGGCAATAAACTGAGTTTGAAGGCTGTATTATTGCATATTGGTAACAAAAAGCCTTCTATCCCGATTGCACATGCAGTAAATACAAAGGAAACCTACGAGGAAATGCAAAAAATACTCAAATTTATCAAATATGAAGAGCATGATTGGAAAATATGTTCTGATCTCAAAGTCGTTGCAATGCTATGCGGTCTACAAAGTGGCTACACCAAGCACTGCTGCTTCCTCTGCAAGTGGGATAGCCGAGCTCGTAAGGACCACTACGTCAGAAAGGATTGGCCGGAAAGAGTCGAGTTTACCGTTGGTGTGGATAACATCAAATACACCCCTCTTGTCAAGAAAGAGAAAATCATACTTCCACCCTTACACATCAAGCTCGGTCTCATTAAAAACTTTGTTAAGGCTTTGGACAAAGAAGGCGAAGCATTCGACTATTTGAAAACAGTTTTTCCAGATATTTCTCAAGCCAAGATAAAGGAAGGTATTTTTGTTGGACCACAAATAAAAAAGTTGATCAACAATAATCAATTCAAAGGACTACTCTCATCAGTTGAGGCAGCAGCGTGGGAATCCTTTGAAAAGGTCGTTGCTTCTTTTCTCGGTAGACACAAAAGCCCTAACTACGAGCAGATAGTGAACGACCTAATCAATAATTATGCGAAAATGGGCGTAAATATGTCTTTAAAAATTCACTTTCTCCACTCACATTTGAGCTTTTTTCCGGCAAATCTTGGCGACGAAAGTGATGAACATGGCGAAAGGTTTCATCAGCAAATGAAATTAATTGAGAATCGATATCAAGGATTCTGGGACGTCGCAATGATGGGTGATTACTGCTGGTTTCTCATAAGAGAAACCGATCCTAAACTGAATAAGCGTCAAAGTAGAACACATAATTATTTCGATAACATAGTAAAATCAAATTAAGATAAAGATTGTTAGAATATAGTATAAACATAAATAAATTTAAAAAAAAAGTTAAAAATATGGGTAATTTCATTCATAAATTGAACTTTTAACTCAATAGAAACAGAGCATAGCTAGATATTTCACTCTTCTTTATACCATACATACGTTTTGAGGTATACGTTGAAATTGCGCAACCTGGGTATTTTTATTTGATCGCTTATAACTTACGTAGTTTTGCATCGATTTTCTTCGATGATACCTTATTTTTTTTCTAATATAACAGAGCTTAGGGAGAAAAAAAAATCTGCAAAAAAATAAAAGGTTTTCGAGATCCTTCCCCGCAAAGTACAATTTTTTTTATATTTTTACAAAAAAAATTGAAAAAATCGGTAATGATTGTTCGTTATCTTTGAATCTACAGGGCCTAGCAAAAAGTGTTGTATGCACAGCTTATAGAAAATTTTATTACCTTTTAAAAGCTTCAAACCGTTTTGGAATTGCTTAATTCGTTCTTGAGATATATATGATTAAGTGGACCCAATTTTTTTTTTTTTTTGCAAAAACGGTAAATTGCAAATATCTCAAAAACGGTACCATAAAATTAAAAATAACCTTGATTTTCGGAATCAGGGGGTGATTTTACATACGAATTTCATAACGGCGTCTCTGGTAAATTTTGGCCGTCGACCAGTGTAGTTATTCAATTTACAAAAATTTGGTATCTTTGGAAAGGAAATGAATCTGATCTGATAACAGATTTAAAAAATTTCATATACAAATTTTGTTAAAAAACTGTTTTTTTACTTCAAAAAATACGTTTCATTTTCCCAAAATTTTTTTTTACCAAACTATATTCAGCAAAAAGAGAAAACAAATAACTTTTAAATGATTATGTTTCGAGATGGAGTCTCGAAAGGTCAAGAAGTTATAAATATTTGAAGTTACACTAAAAAGTAAAAATGTAAAATATTGTGTAGCTTAGTCTGATTACAAGTTTTAAACTGCAGTTTTTTTTCATATAAAAAATGCAATTTATAAGACCTGGCATCGATTTTTTTTTTAATTTTCTTGCAAACGATCTTGCGCATTTTCTTCAAATTCATGTTTGTATGGAAAAAGCCACCAGCAACCGTCTACGCGATTTTTAGCCGCGTATAACTTGCACTTATTTTACTAAAATTTCATGAGCATGTAACTGCATATTCATGAAGTCAGATTAAAAAGTCCAAAATTTTGATGTACATTTGTTGCATTTTTCTAGAGTTGGTATTAAGTTTGAAAATAAGTTCATGTACTATTAAAAGATCATTGTCTTACATGTACAACCATAATAATATATAACATATGTATGTATATTATTAATAACATGTAAATAAATAAATATAATACATGCTACCAAAATCTGTGCAAAACGCAGTTTCGAAAAGTGTTGGTTAGGGCCTTTGTGAATTGAGGGGACGATATGTACATACATATTATTCCACAACTATTTCAATGCAAATCTTAAGCATAACGATTTTTTTTTGCATATTTAGACCAACCCTGAAAACATTTTCTTTGAAAGATTTAAACGGCTTATTGTTGTTGTTGTTGTAGCAGCATACAAATTCCCCAAAGACTTTTTGGGGAGTGTTGCTGGAGTGACAGTCCTTGGCCAGATATAAATCTGGGTCGTTCGGGTACGTAGACCCGACTGTCGTGGGAACTTGTTCCATTATCCAATGGCTTATTGTCTTGCTTATTGCTTAAAAACCTCATACGACGGTAATTAGAGACAAGTCACAATGCGTACTGGAACCTACTCTATCAAACTTTCCAACTATCTTCAAAACTACCTCTACTACTACCCACAGTATCAATGGTCCCAACCATTGCCAACTATTCTCGCTACAGAAAGGGTCAGTTCGTTAATGCATTACTGCGGCACTAATGCAAAAAGCTGTCCCTTTTATATATCGAGGGCAATATTCAATGATATAAAAGTCCACCTAAGACTTAACTGGCATCGACGATATAAATGATGACCTTGTATAGCGCTTGACAGAAACTTTCACTATTAAATTTAAGTCAGAATTCACATCAGTGATGACAGGTAAATTGCAGATGGGTTCTAACATCACAGCAGTTTTTGTGAAAATTACAGATAGAGGGTATTGAATATAAAATAAGTATATGTATTTAATTGAAAGAAATTTCCATCATGCATAGACACGGTCAAATGCCAAATTGGAACTAAGTGGCGAAAATAAGGCACATAATACTGCGGGTTACATTTACGAATTGACCCAAAGTTTCTTTTAAGCACAACATGGGATGAAAAGATATTTAGTAAACAAGTGAATTTTGAAAAAAAAGAGATGTCGCTTCCCAGTAACCATTTGGGTTGGCGATCAAGTGAAGATTCAATACAAACTCCAATTTCCGATGTTGATTTTCAAGTGTACCTCAATTGCAGAACAAACCCGTTCTTTAGAAAAGCTTGGATATCAATCAGAATTCAAACGTTATTCAAGTTTAGTCAAAACTTGGAAAACAATTGGAACAACGTTTGCTTTGTGCATATTTGGTAAGGTTATTTTCGCGTTTGGGGCTCGATATGTATACACACATATGTGTATGCACTATTTAAGCATATCCAGCAGGGAAAACATCTGTTGTGGTTCGCTTCTAGAATATTTGGAATCTTGTCTGGTTTGCTACAAATACATTTTGCATTAAAACTCGTCAATTTAATACGGATATTCCGCTGCGGTGCTTCCTTGGCCATTTTGAATAAGTTCGGTCTTGCATTATTTTCGACATTTACGAATCAATTGGGGAAATCATCGGATCGAATCCTGCGATCATTTTAAATTTTTTTACATAAAATGCCATTAACGCTGATAACCTGGCTACATAAATAAGAAAAATTTCTCAGCTTAACACAAAATTTTTATTTATTTCATAGCTAAAAAGAGAAACCAAAAATAAGCAATACTTTTAGAATTTCCTTCGCTTTAGTATCTCTGGACGCCAATTAACCGGATGTGTCTCTTCACTTGCCTCTTCATCTTCCTTATAAATTTTGATTGTTTTATCTGCCTCGGCAGTGATTAAACGCGAACCAGAGTGGTCAAAACACATCGCAAATATACCCGCCTCGCTGTCCATTGAACCGGGCTGTACTGGCGCTTGGAAACGTTGGAAATTGTAACCAGTACGCCAGTCCCAAAAGAACATTGTGCCATTATCGCCTCCAGATACCAAAACTCCATCCGCATTTACAGCCATACAGTTGACGATGGCGTTGTGACCTGAAATGTTTTGAACGAAATTTCCCTCGGGACATCGCCACTGCTTAATATTATCCGGTGATGCAGATGCAAACATATAGAGTGTAGGATGCAGCACAATGCTGCGCACAGACTTTTTGTGATTAGTTAAAGTGCATACGCTCTTGCCCGCGGCCAAATCCCACAAGCGCACCGTCGAATCGTGTGAACCAGTTATTATTTGCGGATTAACTGCTTGTGAAACTATACTGGCTACTGTATTTGTATGACCGCTGAGTGTGTGAATATTGGCTTTGGTGCGCATATCCCAAATGCGCGCGGTGGAGTCACGACCGCAAGTAGCAAGCACATCTATGGTTGGATGCAGTGCCATGGAGTAAACCGCGGACAAGTGACCATGATAATGTCGTATGACTTTATTATATTCGAGGTCCCAGCATTTTACTTGACGATCCTCACCACAACTGAAGAGGTAAGGGTGCTTAGCGCTCACGGCCAAGCCGCGCACTGTGCTTACATGACCAGTTAATGAGAGTTTCAGTTTACCGCTAGCCAAATCCCAGATTTTGATAACCCGATCGCCGGCACCGGTTGCAAACCACTCATTACCTGGTTCCACTGCTATGCAACGTACCCAACCCAAGTGACCTATAAAATATTAAAAAAAAAGTAAATACGACAAAATCTGCGCATAATTTTCATTGAATTAACACCTACCAGAAATAACACGCGACAACTTCCACGGCGCATGCCAAGTCGGTTTCGGTATTGATGGCGCTTTTTTGGGTATCAGCTGCACATTGCTACCGGTTGTACCAGGGCGTACACCTGAGGCAGCCACGAGTGATGTGCCACCACTTTGCTGATCTATACCGCCTGTTACACTTTTGTCGTTTCCTGTCACCAAGGCATTGTGGTCCCCAACTACACTGCCATCTGTGATAGCAAGTGGACGCTCAGGAACTTCCAGCGCACCACCAGGAGCAGCTGCTGCCAACTTTTTTGCCTCAGCAGCTTTGGACACGCGATCAAAAACTAGGCCGTATGTGTCTTTCGCTTTAATAGATTTTCGTATTTTAAGGCTGAAATAGTTCAATGTGTATCATATCATATTAGGAAGATTGTTCATTAATTCGCTTACAGTTTTTCATCAATTTCAGGAAGTCCGCTTTGATTTGAAACAAACATGTCGTGAGTCCGCTTCAACGAGCGAAATATTAGCGTGTGTACGCTATGCCGCTGCACTTCTTCCATGACGGAACGGTATATATCGGTATTAAATTCTGTTTTGTGCTGATAGAGTGAAGATTTTATTAAAAATATCAAATTATTGCAGAAAATGCAAACTATACGACACACGGACTCAGTAAAAACAAAGATGCGCACAGCTACAAAGAGAAACGTCAAAAAAACTATTGCATTTTGAATGGCAAGGGGGTGAGGATTGTTGTATTTGTGGGTTTGTTTCTTTTCTTTTCCAGCAGATAATTTTCAGGAAGTAGAAGAATGAGAAAATGAGAGAGCGAAATAAAGAAATAGTAAAGAAACGCAAAACTAGCAGAAACCGGCAAGTAAACAGCTGATCGATGTATTTGACTATTGAAAATATTTTGCGCGAATTTTCGTTTATTCATTTTGACAGCTGCTGGTCTCTGCTAGTTAAAATTTTACTAGCAGAAATTAGAAGGAGATCCAACAAAATAAGAGCGTAAGAACGAGAGAGAGCTGCTAGTTTTTTGGGTTAAGAATTGCTTTCCAGCAGAAATTTGTGATATTTATCTTTTAAGAAACAAAGCGGTAGTACAAAATTTTTGACAATGCTTTACCGGAAGTACAGGGTGACTGGTGATGCTTTTAAACACGATTGTTCTATTAACCCTTCAAAGGAATATTTATGCTGAACGTTATGGAGCGATTGCGCTGTCACAAGTCGATAGCAGATTTAAGCCCAGTTCAAGAACTGAATGTTTATTTACCGGGTTATGCTTATTAAATAATTTCTATCACCGAATTTGCACTGAATCGGCAAATGGCCCAACAAATTTACAAAATTCATAAATCAAGTAAAACAATGACTTTAGATTTTATATTGTATATATTTTTAAATGTTTTTATGGTCTTTTCTATTAATTTGCTGGCACAGGAGAACCTGAAGCCGCATTACTAGATGAAGATGCGCCTACTGAAGCCGAAGGTGCTGATGAAGACAACGACGACGACGTGGACGAAGAGGCTGATGATGTGCCCGCAGCAGCCGAACTATTTTCCTGTGATGCACTTTCAAAGAATTTTTCAATCTAGGTGGGGAGGGAAATGATAAGTTCAAACATTCTTAGATAGCAACAGTTTATCGTTAGTAAAAAATTTAAATTATGGTTACCATTTTCTTGATGTAATTGCATAGAGACTTGTTGTTAGAAGTAGAAATAACATTTTCCACCCTATAAGGTGGCGAAACAGTGACTTCATTGAATATTTGAATGTTTGGTCCATGCCAAGATACTTCATTAACCTAAAAAAAATAAAAAGAAAAATATTTATAGAAAGATTTATTCAAGCAATAGGGCGCAATAGATGTAAATGTATATTGCATTTATTAAAAGATTGTCACAATTTAAAACGCGAGCTAATAATGGAGAATATGTATCTCTATTTTATTTATTTTTACAATAAAAAACAGATTGTGACACTCTTTCGATGCGTTTATAATGTTAAAGTTTACATTTACTATATTTATTAAAAGTGTGTGTTTTACTTGCTTCCTCATATTAATTTTAAAATTCATAACCAACCTTGAATTGCTTTGCAATTGTTCTGTATAACTCCTGTGCCTCTAGGCTAACGTCAGCATTCCTCGACTTAAGATAAGTTTGTCGTTGCTGTACAGTATTGCGCAGTCTTATTTTTAACTAAAAAATAAAAGTTATTTAAAACTCATTGTCAGAAATTTTTCATACTCTATTTTAAACAAATTGCATGTTTCCGTGTTTATACCTGCTCCAAGTTCAGCTTTTGTGGATCCTCAACGAAATTGCCGTTGCACTCCTTGATCACTTGAACATTGCTGCATAGCGACAAATTCAATACGTATACGTCATTCAGTTGCTCTGAGTTTTTTGAACGGCATTCTGCATTAATTATGCGGAATTGCAGTTATGGTTAAGGAAAACTGTAACGTAAGTTGATATGTTTATAATCAAGCAAAGGCATTTTGTAATCGTATGCCCTTGCCAGCTTATTTAATTTCAAGTTTCGTTCAAATCGAAGACTGCTCAATTACTTACAACTTATAAAAATATGAATATGCCTATGGGACTTTTATACTTACATACGTATGTATAAAGCTTATAGCTTACATATATAGTATATACCATTGATAGATTAAATAAAATTTTGCTTTACCACGTTGTACTCAAAACATTTAGTTTTAGGAGGAGTGCAGTTGATAAGGTCCATAGCCCGATATCTTTGATCAGTTTGTTAACATAGAACAAAATATGGTAAATAACGAACGTTTTCTATTACATATTCCTATGCCAGCTATATTAGTAATCAACACCGCAATAATAATTACGTTAAAATATCTGCTTTATATATGCACGGTATGTATATGTAAGTATTCTTAAGTGTTGTGTAGCTTAACCTAATTTTAATTAACTTTGATGATTAGTATTAAGCAGCTGTTTATGTAAAAGACTGCCAACCACAACTAAAATGGCACATACATAATTAAATATTACTTTTTCTCGAAAGTCACATCAAATGATTGACCTCAGCAACATTACTAGCTTTGCAGCTTTCACCAACTATTGCTATCAGTTGAATCGCTGAGCACAGAGTCTACATAATTAGTCTAAGAACATTTGTGTTGTAATATATGTTAATCTTGCAATTTATGCTTCCACATATTTATGTATGCATAGAATATAATAAAAAAAAAATTATGTATTTGACCCAAATAAATAAATCAAAAAAAGCTAAATAACTCTTCCAAACTTCTTGAAAAGGATACTTAGAATGAGCATTTTTGTGTTGTGATCAAATGCTAACACTTCGCCTTCCACCTCTTCGTTGAAACAAGTAGTGCAGAGCACGGATGATCCAATCGTGAAGCAATCATTTACCGCAGCCATATTTAATGAAATCCACCACACAACTCAGCAATGATAAGCCAAATTTGAGAAATGATTTTCCTTTGTTTTTTTTTCGATAATTAAGTTAACAGAGCTATAGTTTGTCGGTCCGCTCTATTGCAATTATAAACAATTCACGAACGCGATTTCCAATGCAGCAAAATATGGTTGTTTCTTTTATTTTTTGTTGGTGCTCCCGTTGCATACGTCGATTCACGGAAGTATTTTCCCAATTGTTTTTGACTGCCGTTTAGGCCAGCAATTTTTAATAATGGAGCATTAATTCACAACAAAAGTGCAAATAATTCAGCAGTGGCCGCAATTTCCTTCAATCTTGTATTAAAATTACTTTTATGTACTTTGTTGCTGCTGTCGCCGCTCCCGTTCTTGCTACGCTGCAATGTTCACTTTTTCCACCAACTTATGTTGCAATTTCTGGGGTTTTACTTTTGCGGCTCTATTGTATTATTGCTCGCTTATCAGGCACAATTCCTTTATAAGCACATTAAATGCAATTTGCTGTACAATTGGCGATATTTATTTCCTTTTTCATACAGTTAAAAGTAATAATAAACCGCATACGCAGACGTTATCCAAAAATTTTTGGTTAAAGCACAAAAAACGAGCGGAGCGAAAGAAAGGAAATGACAAATTGAAAAAACACAATCCAAATTTTCTTTTCACTGCGCATTCTTCCACTTGCACACACACACGCACACTGGCGCGTGGCGAATGAAAAAATGCAATGTCAAAATGACAATAAATTTCCAATTGGATTCTCTAGTGCGAAAACGAAATCTTAAATAATAAATAAATCACTAAACCATATAAATATGCATGTATATTTTATATGTGTAATCGTGCAAAAAGATTTTAGTTACTAAAATTATCTTTATGTATGTATATACAATATCAAAATTAAAGATTTTCGTAAAGTATACTTTTGAACGCAACCCTGCAGTCAACAAATGTAAACAAAGCCGCGCCGGTTGGCTTTGAGCAGAACAGTCGAGCACGATTTATCAAATTTTGGCGAGATTCCTATCGCTAATTCATCAATTTGGACAACTTTATTACCAAAATCATAATAATTTTATTCATGCGCAAGCCAATATTCTACAATTACTTTGCGTGAATATTCGCGGTGCCTTTTACCCGTATGATCAGCGAACTTTCCTAGTTTGACGCACTATGCCTGTAATGTGCCTGCACCGACAAGAATCAATGCTTTTCTTGGTGCTTCACTTGTTGCTGCATCATATATTCATTCCAGCATACGGCATAAATCATTGGATTTTGCAGAATGATGGCCGCATTACACAGAAAGTTGATTCACCCTTTCTATTGCGTGAGCCTCATAATCTAGTAGCCTTTCTGGATCAAATACGACACAACGATTACGTGGAGCAGTCTTATCTCAAGCTTAGACGCCAACGAGAATTGATTGCGGAGCATTTGCGTTATTCGAAACAGTTCAGTGAAGATTTAGTTGTGCAGGCGGAGCGTCTGCAACCACATCTTGGCTCGCAAGCACAACCAATGCAAAACTTAATTAATTCGTTGGAAGCGCTTACAAAGCAAACTGCTAAAATGTATAGGTACGGTATTGCAGGAAAATTTAATTTGACTCCTTCATGTACATACATATTAATTTTTCCATTTACCTATTTCAAGCTATCTGGAATTTGTGAAGGATGAATTAAAAGAGTTCAGGAAATTGAAAACACAAATAACACAACACCACGAAAAGCTAATACAACAACAGGTAATCGTAAAATAGTTTTGAGCATGATAAAAATAAAAATTGTATTATACATATTTTTATCATGGTTTAACTATTGCCAAGAGTACGATAAAGAACTTTTCATATTACAGATTCCACTGGCTTCCCGCCAGTTAGATGAAAAAAGTAATAACGAAGATTTATTAAAGAGAGGGCAATACTGCAGTACTCGCACACTTTCAAACACCGAAGATCCAGTTTTGTTTTGTGATTTTTATTCAGATATGCAAATGCGTTTGGAGGGTAAGGATGTTGATCCAGAAGCATTGGAACGTGATTGGCAGCTGACCAGCGAGTCCGTGCTCAATCAAGTAACTAATCTTAACGTACAACAACGCATAAACTTAGAGCAAATAAAAGCAATGAGGGCGAAGAAGGCTGCAGTTGCAGCAAGCGCCAAGGAAAAAAAGGCACAATCGTCACCTACAGAAAATAACGTCAAAGATACATGAAATAAGATGGGTACAATTTTTAAGTATGTTCTTTGTTTCTACAAAATTTTATTTTCTTCTGATCGCGTTTCTCAACACACATTCAGTCTTTAGGTTTTTTAAATTCTTAAAAGACTTGTAGAATTTAAGACAAAACATTTTGTAAGAAAATACCCTTCATAATTGGCGGTACAAATGCTAAACTTTGTATTAATCTCGAAATTTTATAAGTGTATATTTTTTACTTAATACAGATATCACCAAAAACTATATTTGAATCGTTAAGACTAAATTCGTGGTATGGTTGTTTAAAACTTCTAAAAAATCACAAGTAGATATACGTCGGTAGTTAACTTTAATCTAAAATTTTTTGCTCCGAGTTATGCTTCGTCCTTATTTCGCTATGCCTACCACTTGATATCAGTCGTTTCTAGAGCATTATGCATTTCTTTCAAACTGGTATATACTTGTGTAGGTTTTGCTTTTTTTGCTTCATCCATAGACTGCGTTACGAGTAAGCCACTCCAACCAGCATTAAGGGCACCCAAGTAATCCTTTTCATAAAGATTGCCTATATGTAGCGCTTCTTGAGGGCTTAAATGATAATTCTCTAACGGTTTCAGGAATGCTCCCCGATGCGGCTTCTCGACGCCCAAATCATATGAGGTATATACAAAGTCAAAATTTTGTCTAATGTTCATATCCCTCAACACACGTTCTAACCCGGGATCAGTATTGGAAATGACGCCAACATATTTGCATGTGCTCCGTATTGTTTCCAGTAATTCTAAATTACCTTCGATGTGAGCATAACACTGATTTGAACGGTATTGTTCAAAAAGTCTTTCGCTTATACGACGAATTTGTTGCTGTGGTAAGTTGTCATCTATGCGCTTGAAGACATTGTGCACCAACTGCACCCACCATTCCTGCCAACTTATTTCTTTGGAATTGCTGCCAAAGTTTGGATACTTCTTAGCCATAGCTTTGAATTCATCACGGAATACTTTTTGTAAGCGATTCGGGTCCAGATTTTTCACACCCATCATAGCTGCCGTCTCAGCATATTGTACGCCGGGAGGTTTTCTGAATCTAAGCAACGTATCGGTGATATCGAACGTCACCAACTTAAAAGGACTTAGATTTTTAACTAGTTGAGCTCGCCGCGGCATTCTGGTCAAATTGAAATTGCTTCCTTTGTTATTAATTTGATATTCTTCGATTGTTGATAAGCCGGTAGCTTTGTTTTTTTTATAGCGAACTTTAAAGATTATCTAATGGATAATAGATAATTAACAGCTGTTTTATGATAACAAGGCAAGGTTGCAAAGTATAGGCACATCTAAAATGTCGCGACATATTGAACGTTTTGTTTTATTGTATATTTGTTTAAATAAGAAAACAAAAAACTGCACTAATCACAATTCTGCCGAAATTAAAAAAAAACACCAATACAAAGCTTAATGGTAGCTTAAAATTTTAGTTACTACTATGCAACAAATCATATTTCCTCCACAACACTATTAAGCATTTTATTACAACCCTACACTGCCAGCACTTGCACTTGTTTTAGGGCTGTCAGTGGCAAAATACATCGATGTTTTTCTTTTATTCGATGCATCGAAATGTAAATCGATATTTTTCGATGCATCGACGGGCATACATCGATGCATCGATTTGCTAGGATTTACCAGATGAAGTTTCACAACAAAATATGTTATTAGTGAAATTGTACAAAGTTAGAAATAAATTACTGCAACTGAGCGGAACGGAACTTTGTGGAGTAATTTCAATTCTTTGGTCAAAGTCACTTCTCTTTTTTTTTACAATTAAAAAACTGGAATGACGCTACAATTGTCAGTTATGAAAAAACATCGACGCCTCGATACATCGACTATTTATACAGCGAGTGGAAAAATTTCGATGCGTCGAAGAAAAACATCGATATTTTCGATACATCGAGGTTTTTCCGACATCCCTAACTTGTTTACTGTTTTTTCATTGCATCTACAAAACAAACGTGTCTTGATCTATTTAGCAAAATTAAGTTTTTTATATTTCGTAATGTCTGAAGAGCCGCCGATCATTCGTTTTAAAAACCCACAATTCAGCTATATTGAGCCCGGTGGCAAGAAACACGTATTCAAGTCACTAAAACAAATACTGGCGGTGGAGAAAACACAACAGTGGCCAGAAGGTGCTATGTCTTGTAAGTACGAGTGTAACTTCTGATTAAAAATTTATAAATACCAAACCTTTTGCTCTCGCCCAGACTCTTCGTTTAACGCTCCGCCTTCATTGCGACCACCTAAAAAGTACTCGGACATTTCGGGTTTGATTGCACCGTACACTGACCCGCACAGCAAGTTGCGGTACGCAAACTCCGAAGAATATGCTATTGTTAAGACTCTGCCATCCGATATTGTTGCTGGTTACTTGGCATTGCGTGGTGCAAGCAGTATCGTCGGCTGAAATTCGTATAATTTAAAGATGGTCGCATGAGAAATAGGTTAAATAGAAATGATAAGATGCAAATTCAATTACAAGCACGTTAGCAGTAAGCCAGCAGAATCAGAAATTAGTCCCTCAAGTTCAATAACATGTTTGAAAGATCAGAATGCAACGCAAGTAAGCATTTACTTCATTGGATAATATGTATACATTAATATTACTTTCTCCAGTTGAGACCAGTTATACTAAGGCCCATCGTAATAACCAGGGAACGGATTTTATAAAAATTGCCTTTTTTTCTGCTAAAGAGATATATGACGTTTTCATTCCAGTTTATAAACCTGTTTAAATCTACTTTATTTACGATTTAGCTTTCCCTGATTCCATATACCATATACATATATGTATATACATTTGATATTGCATTTTTAAGGTATTTAAGAGATTTTCAAGGCTTTTCGCGAAAATCGAATGAAAAAGCTGCCAGAAAACTTCAAAATGCATCTTGTGGTTCAATGTTACTACAACTATAGAGATTAAAGTTTTGCGAGTTAAAACTCGAAAAGAGAAAAAAGACAAATATTCAAATCATGATAAAAACATAACTCGGCTTAATCCGGGTCAACTGCAGTTAATTCCCGAGTTGATCCGGATCAACGCAGCCATCTGTTTATGCTTTAACGCGCCCACGGAAATCTAGATTAAAAATATCTCGAAGAATATACTGACACATAATTATGTATTTATAAGGGATTGCAGAAAAGTATCTGAGAACCATTTATCTTAATGTTATTATCAGGGAACGGATTTTTAAGACCTAAAAACCTGTAAAATAGGCAAAATAAAATAAGGTAATAAGGTGCTTAAAATATAAGTAGATAGCAAATTTTTGTACGGTTACAACAACAACAACAACAACAACAACAACAACTAATATTCTGATATCTCAGTACAAATCGTAAACGAAATTGTATGTAGTAGCTTTGCAATTGATATTTCAGATTAAAATCCACATTCTTTATATTACCAAAGTTTTAAATTAAATTCTAGATCTGCTTCAAGGTATAAAAGTAATATGATCTTAAAAACATATTAAAGTGCATCTTCGTTAAAAATGCGGGGGCGTGAAGTATTTGCAAATGTTAGCGAGTGGACGATGTCCAACAAGGATTGGAAGGCTTTTGGGCTTTAGATGAAACCATTCTGCCGTAAGATATATGGCCCTGTTCGCTTGGGAGAAGGGTTCCTAGGATTGAATGATGGTGCTGCGGTGAAAATGGAAGAAAATACATATTTCTTTGGTATCGGAATACGGAATAGATTTGACATTCAGATTATTTTGCTTGGGTAATCTAACTATGTCTCTACCGATACCTGTACCTAAATACCGATGTGTATACATACCTATGTACATGCATGTGTACAAGTCTTCATGCTTGTTATACATATGTGCGTCACCATTACCCGCAAAAAGCTGAAAGTAAACTAGAATGTAAACACTAATTATTAAAGAGCACGAAAACGAGCAAACAAGAAATGGGGAAAATTGATATACCAATGCCAGCAAACAATTTATTGGTATCCCAAACAATGTCAATTGAAATTGCAGGCGTGCTGTGCCTAAGTGTTAAAAGATTACATCCAACGGTTCATGTTTTGTACACATATAAGTGCATACGTGCATACATACATTTTTACATGCATGTTCTGTATCGAAAAATGAAAATGTACAAATTGAACCGCAAGAGATTAAATGAATAGTATTAACGCTATATACATACATATATGTATATGTAGATATATGCTTTGAAAATATGTTTACCTGCTCGCTGAGCGCAGAAAAGTACACCCACAAAATCGTGTACGCAAGAATAGGTAGGCGATCACGCAGGCAATGCAAACCTTCCGGGAAGTGGTCGCTAGTGTAAAAGGATCGCCGTAAGATGACTGCGCTCAGTCAGCAAAATATCTATTTGTTTGAGAGAGCATTGAAGCAGAAATTCTTAAACCTGTTTACCAATACACATTTGGGATTTTGAGCATCGCGCGCAAGTGCACAGGTTTAAGAGCATTGATTTTTGCTCTATGTCTGCAGTCTTCAATGAGTTTCACATTCGAAAGCATCTTGGGTACACAGCGTAGCTCTTAAAAACTTTGATTAAAAAAATAAATAAAATTTTAGCGCCTTTCAAAGGCCGGCAATACATATGTATAAGTAAAAATATGTCTGCAACAACAAGTAGTGGCACAAGTAGCGCGAGTGACAATTCAGTAACGGACGGAGATTCCAGTTTTAAATTCGCCAATAAAACATTGCAAGACTATGAAGTTATATCGGTCATTGGCAACGGCACATTTGGAACGTGCTTCAAAGTGCGCGACAAACAAACCGGTGAGCTGTATGCCTGGAAGGGCATCGACTACGACGAATTGAGTGAATCTAAGAAGGCGTCGTTGGTGTCTGAGATACGGGTGCTGCGTCAACTACAACATCCCAATATTGTGCAATATTATCATCATTTGGTCAATCATGAAGCCAAGTCCATATTCATTGTAATGGAATGCTGCGAGGGTGGAGATTTGGCGCAGCTAATTAAACATGCACGCACGGACCGTAAGCGCTTCGAAGAGCGTTATATCTGGCGCGTGCTATTTCAGGTCTGCAAAGCGCTGCAGGTATGCCACAACAAAATAAGGAAAGGCACTATTTTACATCGGGATATAAAACCTGCAAACATATTCCTTGACGCGCAAGGAAACGCTAAGCTGGGAGATTTCGGCTTGGCGCGTATGCTACGTAAAAATCAAGATTTCGCAGCCACTTTTGTCGGCACACCCTACTACATGAGCCCAGAAATCGTCAAGGGATCGAAATACGATCGCAAATCGGATGTGTGGGCGGTGGGTTGCCTGGCATACGAAATGTGCGCTCTCCGCACGCCCTTTCAGGCACCGAAGTTTGATGAACTCACTTTGAATATTTCGAATGGAAAGTTTAGTCACATACCGGATGTGTACTCCGGGGACCTGCGGGAGATTATTGCCTACATGTTGTCGGTGGATAGTGAGCAGCGTCCCAGCATTGAAGTGATAACGCGTCATCCGATCGTCGTACGGAATATAACTGAATTAGGTAACGAATTTCCATCACTGATAAAAGCTGAGGCCGATTTCTTTGCAGCCGAAGAAAAACCGGAGGTACGTTGTAAGCTGCAATACAGCCCCATTATAGATCTTTCCAGCACAATGTACACCGAACAAAACAGCTTTAACGACGATTATGGGCAACGTCGTTTAAGCTGCGGTTTTACGCCTGACCTTCGCGCCGAACTCTTCTCTTCTGTAAAACGTCGCATTTTCTCCAAAAGTATGCTTCAGCGGTCAGACCCTGAGCTTTATGAAACCATACAACACGAATACTATGTCAGCGTGAAAGATCAAACACCATTGAGACCACCCATACCACCTCCGAAGCCACCTTCACATGCGCGCGCGTCAGCCAATTCCACAACGGATGAGCTCAAAAGTCCCGCGCTGATCACGGAGGATGTCTTTAATGAGGCGCTGCTAGGACGCCTACGTGCCATCCGGGCGCACGAGTCACTACTGCAACAGCGCACACTCAGCTTGGATGCGCGAACGCAAGAGTTAAATGAAAGAGAAAGGCGTTTGGGGATCCTGGAAGAGACATTGCGTAAACGAGATCTAGAATTAACAGCCAGGGAGATGGCTCTGGCAGCGGAAGTCAATAAAGCAGTAGAGAACAGTAACGCACAGATAAAACCAGTACCGTCGCCATCTCCGCCGCCTCCACCTATACCACCACGTAAATCCAGCATCAATAAACACGACGAAACTTATTGCAGTATTGAAGACACCCAGCTTGAATCGCCTACGATTGCAAAGCTGAGCCTGCCATTTGCCATGTCGCTTCCAACGCTACGTCGGGTAACTTTCCAATCCCCGCAAAAGTTTACAAATTATGACATTGATAGCAATCCGTGCGATTCTGCTCAAATAAACAAACCGATTTCTACTAAAGCGCAAAGCACAAAGCGACAGCCTTCCCAACTTCAAGGCAGCGTTTCTAGCAAAGATAGCAGAGATTCAGCGGACAGTGGCATCGCCGCCAACTCTACAACAACAAGCACACATACGCGGCGGCGTTCAATATTATCCACCTTGTTTGGTCTACATCGCAGCAGCAAGTCCACTTCGAAGCCAGATAATAGCAACCGCTCCAAAGGTTTTCCTGAATCGGTATTGAACAATAAAAAAAATAACCAACAACCGCCACCTAATTCAGCTACTACAAAAACGCGCATGCCATTCGCACCACGCGCCGACCAAGTACTCGCTAAGTGCGAGACATCAGAGCTTGGCAATATTTGGACCAAGGAACATAAACGCGCGGCATTCGACTTGTTGGCCGCCATGAATGCGGATCAAAGTGGTGCAGAAACAGCTCAATGCACTGCCGCTATTTCAAATACTGCTGCGACAAATACGGTGATTGGGCGTCAAAAATTCAGACAATCGACACGTGAACGTCATAGCGCCACTTTGCGGCGCCATCACCACATGCGGCGTTCATTAATGCTGCCGCCACATTCGATCACGCATGTGGCCGCAGCCAGCGCTGGTGCGGTGTCTAGTATGCGTAGCAGTGGCAGTCGTGAGAAAATGCTGGTTTGAATGGGAATGAGAAATTTTGAAATCATTTACGGATAAGGCGTGAACATAAATATTTTATTAGCATGTAAGAAATATTAATAACTGATCGGGTATGATCTACTGCAATGTATTTACCATGAAAAGGCTGTCTTTCCTGTTGTGCCATGGGCGCATGCATCTTAAGTGCTTTCTGCTTTATAAGAAAAAATTCAAAATTTAGACAACAAGCTTGAGAATATCAAGGTTGTGTGCGCTATTTTTTAATAATATAAGTATATGCAAGTAATTAATAGTTGTGATGCGGAATAAGTTCCCTCTGTCTTTAAGATGAGTAAAATTAACTCTTATATTTTAAATTTTATTTTTGTATTTAACGGTTAATAAATACTTATGTACGTTCGAGAATGTATAGAGAATGCATTATTTATTTACACACACATACACACATATATAAAAGACGTAATTAAATGCCTTTTAGATAGCAAAAATTTGTATTATATGCAAACATGTATATATGTAGGTATGTTGTATGAAAATCTGACAAGTTGATCATATCTATTTTATATGACTTGACTCCGAACGGAGAGGTCATTCGCTTTACATATTTATTTTACAGCTAGATAATAGTTTTATGAGAAATTAATTTTAAAATAGAAGTTTCCAAAATAGTATACTGTGCAAAAAAGTAGAGAATAAAAAATAAGCTGAAATCTGCGCCTATATACCAACTTTTAGAAAAAAATTGAGCGGAACCCAATCGTGCACATTCTTTTACATATATAAACATACATATGCATACACCCATGATACAAAAATTATTTGTATCATGGCATACATCTATGTGCTCTTTAATGGTTTTTCTCATTCTTCCTACTGTCGTCATGACTTCTAAACAAACTCTTCGAGAGCAATTTTTGCCCATACCTGTATAAGTCCTAGCACAAGGGAAGCAGACGTTATTTAGCGAAGAGGGCGAGGTTTGCAAAGATTTCGACTACACAATTGAATATGTGTGCATACATATGTATGTTTGGATGTGTACGTGCATAGTTCATGCCTCCATGCATACATATCTATATACAAACGAGTTTTAGTGAAGTCCCGAACGGTTGGTTTGCTGGTTGTAGGTCATAAATCAGAAGAGACTTGTAGAGGCTCGAGATGTATGAGGAGAAATAGTTAAGAGAGTATTTAGCATGCATCTTCATTACAGATGCAAGAAAAAATTTCGATACTTGCATTTAGAATTGCATTTTGGTTGTGGCTACACTATTGTTTGTTTAAGATACGAATGTTTAATACGAGGCAACTGGGTGCCAAATATCGAGCTGGTATTTGGAGTTTTTATTACATAAATACATACGTACGTCATACACACATGCATACATATATATACATGCATTCAAGAAACTCGAAAAACGTTTATTGTTTTTTTTTGTGCGTTTATTTATTTTGAATTTTTATGACTTTGACCACAAGGAATGAGGAATGTCCGCTGTGCAGATGAACAAATAAATAGATATGGCTATATTTACCTCCCTGCAGATAGTGAATACTTGTTTACTTAACTATTTTTGTCGTGACTAGTTACTTTTCTAATTTTGATGATATGCATAGGTATAATCCCTTTAAATTTAATGGAAAATTCAAGTAAGGAGGAAAGCAAATACTTAATGATCATGGTTCTCTGTAGAAATACTCGTAGATTTTTACGATACATACGTAGGCGTTTAATAATTGAGTTAGAATGGTTATTGTTTAAGTAGAAAAAAATTAAGCAAGCTGCTTAGGTCAACGAGATGTATACATATATATGTATGTACAGGAATCGCATATTCGTTTTTCGAATAGAATGATTACACCTTCGGTTAAATTCATACTGCAAAGCATTGTGTGCTTTTGGGTGCTCGAGTTCTTGATGAATACATAACACATTAAATAGTTGTTTCCTGTTTAAAAGGACATTCGTATATTAAATAAACAATAACAATAATGTGGAGACGAAAAAGTGACCTAATGCTTTAAAATTTACCATGTATTGAACATCACTCTCTCGACCTCACCGATCTAAGACTGGAAAGCTTGTAGTCCTGTTAACTCTAAAGCGTTTATATTACGCTACTATAGGTATCCGAATTATGCTAGTGTAAATCTTGTAAAAACATAAAATTTCTAAGCCGGTTTGCTGTTGTTGTAACAGCATAGAGATTCCGCAGTTTCTGGGGAGTGACTGTCCTTGGCCAGATATAATTGTGTCGAAGACCATCGCGAGTTGAATTAGAAAATATAACTTTGTTTCGCTTATATCATTTGCATTTATTTAAAACAAAAGTTCGTTCGCTTCGTGTTCATCCAAATGCTACCTAAATTTTACATTTTTCCTAAGAAACACCACCCAAGCTATTTATTACCAAGATGGAGGTTTGCGCTCAGCGCCCTCCGGTCGTCCGTAGAGCGCACTCTTGTCCCGGAACAATGTCATTCGTTCGGTTTCCTTTTTATCTAAGAAATGGCCAATAGCAAAACCAATCAATGGAAGCACGCCCCAAACGTAGCGTTTATCCAAGCCAATCATGCTGCACTTTTTTGCTTTAATTTTTTTTTACTCTGTCGCAAATTCGCTTTTCTGGGCAAGTTTACGTTGCTGTTTTTTCCACGCCTGTGTATGTGTCCAGTCGGCTAAAATTGATGTCACAGTAAATGTGGGGAAGAATATCACTGCTCCGTACTTCCTGGCAAATCGGGCAACAGTCATAACACCTGGAAAGAATGAAACTAATTAAAACACCATTACGTAAGCGAGCTACCAAGGCTTCACAGCGTTTGGCCGTTGATGTACAAAGCGTTTTCCTATGTAATTTAGATGATAGCAATGTCCGCTAGTAATAACCCATTAATATTTCAACTAAAATTTAATATATTTCCTCGAATATTTATACAATTGCTTACACTTTATTCGCTGCCTTGCGCTAAACACGTACAAAAAACAGAAATACGAAATGTCAGTTGGTGGGATACTGTCAAAGTAAACAGCTGAGTGTACAGTAGTTGCGACTTGCTTTCGTACACGTTATTAGTACAAAAGGGAAATTTCATTAAATGAAAAAGGGATTTTTTTTAACTGTTTTTTTTGCCCCCCTTTGACAATTCGGCTGCACTAGTATGGGAATTTTCCATAAAAATTGGAACAAAAGCTATTTCTTTTTATACAAAAATGCTTCCTTTACGTAGTTTTTTCACTGCCAGTCATAAACAAAATAGTGCGTTGAGCGTTTCGCTTGCATGCTTATTTCTCTACAGCGCATCAAAAATATATACATCAGAATAAGACAGGCTGACAGGTGCAATAAAATAAAACAATTTTTATAATTTAGTTAGCTACATTTCTAATGTGTTTTTTAGCGGCGGCTAAAACCGTTCACCTATGTATATATATTGGATCCCAGGACACAAGGGTATAAAAGATAATAGAAAGCTGACGAGCTATCCAAGAAGGGCGTTTATTTAGACGCTTCACTAGTGACGGATATACCAATTTCTTTCCAGGAAATCAAAAGTTCTTAAAATCTCTTATACCGCCAGACAGGTAGGCTCTGGAAAAGAAGTCAAGCTTGTAGACTTTCAATGAATTGACAGCAATTATTGTTATTGTAGCAGCAGCGCTCAACCGCCCAGGTCCTGTCATGAATCATCGTCTTCATCCTCCAGCCTGAGGCCGCTTTGGTATCAGGGTCGTAGGGGCATGTGATGAGGCGCTCGGTGTTTGCCACTTCTGTGTTCAGCCGAGAGAGGTAGCTGTTGAGAAAGTAGCACCACCCAGAACGGAGTTTTGCTAGGGTGTATCTAGTCTCTCTCGGCAGTTCCGTTTCTCCTAAGTTTATGGGCAGCGGTACACCGCATAGGACGATGCAGTCATTGCGTGTGCTGAGGCTCGTTCTGTTGAGCGCCGCTCTGTATCTCGCTGTGTCGCACGGCTCGATGTCGGTGTTGTGGGCGCGGTTCGTTTCGAAGCAGGTCGTTGGGGTGGTTCCCTCGGTGGCATCCCATGAGGTATTGCTCTTTCACCGCCAGTATCTGGCTTTCTTCGTGGAAATGATGTTTGGACAACATGAGATACGTAGAGCTACGTTCTGACATGTTCGCAGATTTCTCCATGTCGCTCGTCCCTGCCGTCGACACTGGTGCAGCCATTGACCGGCCAATTGCCTTGTAGGTTTCGAGTAGGGTTTATTTATCAAAGTTTGTTGCATGTGGCTGCGGTGTGCGCGGTAAAGGAGAAGAGGCTATCGGACGTCACTCCCAGGATTTTGGGATGATTGGTCGCCGGTATTTTGGCGCCATCCACGAAGACGTCCAGTTCTATCCTGATCTCTTTGGTCCAGGATGTGACGAGTGTGGCGCTGGATTCTGCGGCGGAGATTTTGAGGCTCCTTGAAGTGAAGAAATTGGAAAGATCGGTGAGATGGACGGTTATTTTATCGCAAAGGCTGTCGATCTTTGGGCCCGTCGCCATCATTGTCCAATCATTAGTGTAGCCTACCAAGTTCACTCCTGCTGTTGACGGAGGGAGCTTTGCCATATAGAGATTAAACAGTGTCGGGGAGAGTACGTCGCCTTGAGGGACGCCCTGTTTACTTCTACGCGGCTTGGACTTTGCGTTTCGAAATTCGACGGATGATTGACGGCCACACAGATAGCTGGTTATCCACCGTTTCGTCCGAGCTAGAACCAACGAGTCCAGGACGTCTTGGCAGAGGGTCACGTGGTTCACATTGTCGAATGCCTTCGATAGATCTACTGGGCCAAGGGACCGTCCTATCACAAAATCGACGTTGGTTCAGAACCTCACTAAACTGTGTGGTGATAGCGTTCCATGCTGTGGTCGTGCTGGGCATTTTCCGGAATCCGTGCTGGTGTTCGGCTAGCTTTAAGTGCTTCGTTGGGCTGGGGAGGAGTAGTGCTTCCATGGTTTTTGCCACTAGGGATAGGAGGAAGATGGGTCTGTACGAGTCTCCTTCGTTTGCCTTATTCCCTGGCTGGATCCTACCCATTTTCCACATATCGGGGATGATGAGGGTGGACAGTGACAAGTTGAAAGCGGCGATCATGTACTCGACTCCCGTAGATCCCAGCTTTTTCAGCAACTGCATGGATATTCCATCTGAGCCTAACGCCTTGGATGCTTCGGCGTTGTTGACAGCTGCCTGCCTCTTCAAAGGTAAAGCACGTTGGTGTATCACTGTGGCTAATTTTGTGTGCCTCTCTCTGTGTGTGCAATAAATTGCTGGCTGATAAAGCGCCCACACGACTGTGGATCCGACATTGTGGTGGTGCTGAAAGTAAGGGCGGCATTGTCCTTACGCATCGTCAGATTGAAGACAGAGACTTGACTATGGCCCACAGTTTCCTGTCTCCGCTTGAGCGATTGCAGGTTTTGAGATGCTCATTCCATGTTTTCTGAGGCTCGCGCTACCCGGTAAGGTACAGCTGCCGACAAAGGACCAAAATGTCTACCAAAGTTCGCTAAAGGAACGGCAGTGTTCTATAACATTACGTGAATGTACTGATCCTTGTGCCGTAAGAGTATCCTGCAACACTATGGACATTGTCTTCGTTTATGTGAGAGGTATGGTCAGCCAGCAGCTCTGCACAAATCAGCTTATCGTCGTCAAGCTCAACTAATGGTAGGCTCAGGAAATGTGATGTTTCGATGGACCTCAATATCGAGCAGTCGTATGCATACGAATTTAACAAAAGAGGCAGAGGACACGACACTAACTACCACTTCACATGTCAGCTCAATCCCACCCAGCTAACACACCTCCTTCTTTGGTCCGACCACGTCGAAAAAGTTCGTTTCCTGGGCCTACCGTTAGTTGAGTAGTGCCGCTAAGCCACAATAACAACACTGTGGGACCCCTGTTTATTATTTATCGGGTTCGAAAACACGCCGCAGCAGCGAAGAGCCCTCAATGTTTTCTAGCAGCGTGGAGTCAAAACGATGTCGAAGGTGTTTATGGTGTTCAGTGCTGTAGTGATGGTACTTATACTGGGGTATATTGCGGCTTAAGCAATGGAACCACTACTCTCCCGGACTTCCACAAGTCACGAGTGGTCATCGACAAATTTGGGATCATCCTGAGATATTCTACTCCCGCGGAATCCGAGTTTTTCTAAATCAGCATGCTTATTCCGCCAAGCCAATGGCTTTGGAGACTTTCGCCTTCACCATGGTCATCCGTTTCTGACTGAAAGTAAGATGGGATTCTTTTCAGGCTGTTTGTGCAGCCTTCTGATTACCCAAGTTTGGTCTCTGTGTACATTATATGCACTAAAATTTGGAAGGACTTTTATCCGCCGTTGGAAACCAAACGACTTCTTTAATCCGACGTGGAAAAGCGCAATGCGAGTTGCCAATCTACAAATAGACTCCGCACATTGAGACACGCATCACTGTTAGCAGTTATAATTTTTAGGTAATGAAGGGCTTTTTGTCTACCTAGGAGTCGGCAGGCTCCAGGGTAAAAATCTTACTCGTGCATATGTACACTTTTTAGTTTATAATAATTAGTACTTAGATAATAATAAGACGCTTTAATTATGTTATATTGACCAGCTACACTCTGAAATTTATTTCTTGGATGCGAAATATTCATAACAAATTAAATCTATTTTTGGTTTGGTCATTGAACTGACATTTATGTACAGGTAAAGCTCCATAGAACTTAATTCTTCAAACCCTCTATTGCTTCTGCTGTTTACGCAAGGCGCGTTTGCGCATATTCAACAATTGATTGAAGACGAAGTTCGTAGTGAAGGGTTCACAAATAACATCATTCATGAGACTCAAAGTCAACTGCAAAAAAATGTGTGGCAAATAGGCAGCAGTTTTCGTGGTATATCCCAAAAAGTTGAGAGCTGCAGCGACATATGTGTCGGGTGATGGCGTCATTAGATCCGTTCTTTTTATCTTGCTCATATTGGTGGCAACAAAGCCCGGCTGAACGCATTGCACTGTGATACCTTTACTACGGTATTCCGTTTGTAAATCAACACTGAATTTGTCAACGAAAGCCTGGAAAAATTGAAAATTCATAAAAATAAAAAACTAAAAAAATGCGATTCCAATAGACGGTGCGTGTCTGACTCGCGAGTCATCTGTGTACGTGTTGACTCGCCTTTCGACTACACCCAGTTGAGCCATTCAAAGTCATACGAGTCATCCAAATTGACTCGCGAGTCAGACGCACCGTATATTTAGCCTATAAGATTAAGTCAACAAATACTTTAGGTATGTATGTATGTACCTTGGAGCCGCTGTAAACGCTTAGCAGTGGATTTGGTATAACCGCGGCAGTTGATGAGACATTGATGATTACACCTTTCTTTCTATTCACCATGGCGGGCAAAACTAAGGCGCACATGTGTGTCACGGAGTGTATGTTTACCGAAATAATGTTTTGTAAGAATTTAGGATCTTGCTGATAGCATTCTAGGAAGTATTCTGGGTAAGGATATGAAACGCCGACATTGTTGACGAGTACACCAATGTCAAAGCCCTCTATGTGTGCCTTGATCTTGTCGTAAATCTCCACGCCACCCGTGAAATCGACATCCACGATTTTAATATCGACTTTGTGGTCTTCGCCTGTAATTAAATGCAAATTTATATAAAATTTTAATACGACTATATCGATATCTGAGTGGAAGATCGACCTATCTCGGCAGTCAGTTCGAAAACGCGCTATCTCAGAAAACTTTTCAAGAACGCCCTACTTCAGAATTTGGTTGAAGAACGCCCTATTTCAGCTGCCGATTCAAAAACGCCCCATCTCAGCACATTTTCAATGTACATATTTTCAGCTGAGATAGGGCGTTTAAATTTAGTTTTAGTTTTAGTCTGTTTTGTTTATTGCAGTATTTTATTTGATTAGTATTACTTCTTATATATATTTGTTTACTTTTTTGTTTGAATTTATTCAATTTTATTTGTTTAACTTAATTTAATTTAATTTTAGCTAGCATTGATTTT